GTGTGTGTGCGTGTGTGTGTGTGTGTGTGTGTGTGTGTGTGTGTGTGTGTGTGTGTGTGTGTGTGTGATGTTGCAATTGCGTAGCTGTGAGAAACTGTTCCAAAGGTTTTTCCAGGCCCATCATGGATATGCTGGTATGTGAAGCCTTCAAGCCCCAAGTAGGAGTGGTTTGGTTGTGGGCCCCACACAGTCTTGTCTGTTTCCCACTGGGAATAATCCCATTTTCAATCTTTTTTAGGTTCAGGGATGGGGGAGAAGACACACTCATCTTAAGAGAACAGACAAAATATAAGCTGAATATTTGAAGAAAATGAAGTGGAGTATACCTTCCCCTTCTGCCTCCTTTCATAACGTGCAAGTGTTCTGTTAAGGCACACGGGGCGTGGCCAGCCGTGTACGTGAGAGGCACAGTGAAAGGGCATCTGCAAGAACAAGTAAAAAGGGTACCCCAAAGAAAACCGAAGTAAAGGTAGTTAAGAAAGGGATACAACAGATCTAATGTGCCCCATGTTGCTTGCTATGGAGGAAAAAACAGTTTCATTGTTGGATTGGCTCATCTCAAGTGTGCTTCATTGTCTGCAATAGAGGTAAAGCTGCTTTGATTTTGGGCCCACTCATCGGGGTTGGAACGATGGCTGCTGTGGTGAAAATCTTAAAAAACACACATTCACACACGCTTGCTCACAGACACACACTCACAGATGAGTGCACAGACTCAAGAAGAAATAAAAGAAAAACCCCGAAAGAAGCCAAAGTAAGGAAAGCGAAGCAAGAACTGCACAAGGAAAAGGCATTTTAACAGTTTTAGTGTGCTTCTAAGGTTAAATCTGTTTCGGTTTTGGATCTACTCATCTGGGTGGAAAGGGGGTTCTTGTGGTGACAGTTCACACTCACACGCTCACACGCTCACACGCTCACACGCTCACACACACTCACACACTCACACACTCACACGCTCACACACTCACACACTCGTACACTCACACACTCACACACTCACACACTCACACACTCGTACACTCACACACTCACACATACACACACACTCACACATGCACACATGCTCACACACACTCGCACACACTTGCAGGCACTCACGCATGCATATCTGAGGAAAAATGAACAGGAGTATACCTCTCTCTTTACTGTGCCTCCTTTCAGAGCGTGCAA